AGGGATGCGAGCACTACAGATCGGCAGCCTGTGATCGTGGAGTACGCGTCTACTCCGACGGGTCTGGGACGGCATTAATTCAGAATTCGATAATTTCGGTTATCGCACATCACGTGCATGTCTTGGGAGCGATATATGGTTCGCATTCACCAGCACTGGTGGACTCTGTTGGGGCTCCAGATGTTTGTTCGCCAGCAACGTCTTTACGGCGTGTCAGCCTCAACGAAACTTTCGTGAAGGATTTGGACACCCCCGGTACTGCCACCGCCTTCAGAGTTCCTTCCCCTCACGATCGAAACATGCGGTTCTTCTCTTTCGATGCCTGCTACAATGGCCTGGCCGGTTGCCTCCCACTCGGCCCAGACCGATGGCTCCCGCACCGTGTTTGGGGACGAACAGTGTGTGGTTATCCCCCTCTTGCTAGAGGGGTACTACTTCGTCTTGATCTTGAGCGACTGCATCCCTTCCCGCGGCACAGCGGCATACGTATCCCGAGTATTTCATGGGATATCCGAAGCACGCCACAGTTGTCTCAAACTACGAGGCGCGCTAGTGCTGGCGGGGGTAGATTGCAACGGACATTTCTGGCGGAACACCGTAGAACATAATAGTCAGCTTGGTTAAGAAAGGATGAAACGGAACACGTCGGATGGAGGAACGGTTACCTTGCGTTTGCGATTTCCCACAACCGTGGTCAATTCAGACACGTGATGCCAAATATTTTCGCGGGTCCCGATGGCAGGCATGCAAACAAAACGACAAGCAGGACACCGAGTTCACGATACTTAAGACAGAGCATACCCAAGACAGGGGAGCTTCATCACGTCTGTCAGCATTTCGTTTTCGATACCCTCCGGCTTCACCAACACGTTTACGACGATAATACCGCGTGAAAGCAAACCAATTTTTGCACGGCGACCATGAGTGGACGCCACAAGCCCATTTTCGACCTTGCAAAGCTACACACACGTGCGCGACTCGAACCATCCATATCTTCATGGACGGTTCGGATGTGAAATAAATTGTTGGATGGGGTATCGCGGCTATAGGACCAGACGTACAACAATGCATGGAGTGTTCGGGCCCAGTCGTGACATTGCAAATTTGAACCTTACGACAGGTATGCCTTGGAGCCGAGGTATACACGAACAAAACGAGCGAGCTCCCTGCGGTGAGTATGGCGGTGTGGTAGACGTCAACAGGAGTGATCACCATACAGTATGACTCCAAGTCTGCCATGGATATGGTCACTGGCAGTTGGAGGTTCGGACGCAACCGAGATCTTATTTCGACGGGTAGAGCGCTCGACCGAAAAGTTCGGCGATCAGGCGATATTGTTATGGCGCATGCCAAAGGTCATCCAGGAGACGATGGGGACGAAGCAGACGCCAACGCAGATGTGGGAGCAAAGCGAGAACCCAAGCTATGGTATTTGTTGTGAGGGCCGCCGATTCCGACATCTATATCCTCGACGGCACCGGCTCCACCCAGCACGAGTTCTAGAGATCCTGAAGGGAGTGGGGGGGGGGCACGCGTGTGGAGCCTCAAAGCTGCCTTCGGCCTGGGGGTGAGCAGCGAAAGTCCCACTGTGGGTTATTGTGCGCGCGTCCCCAGGCATAGCTCCCCAATCCCAGGCCGCGACTACCTCGCCCGCGCAAACATCGGGAGCCAAAACTGCTGCGGCGACCGTGCGCAGCTCGTTTTTTTTTAAACGCCCGATGCCTGGGGACGCTGACCGCGCCCAGAGCGCGGCGAGGCCCAGGCTCCGGAGCGCCGCTCCTCGCTCCAGGGGGGGGGGGGGGGGGCTCGGCGGCGGGGGCGCGCGGAGCGGTCGGGCGCGCCTCCGCGCGGGCTCGGCAGCCTCTTGGTTTCGCCGGTGCTAAGAGTGAAGTCAGCGCACGTCAATTTTTTGTTTTTCATTTGCGTCTTCGTTTTTCACGGATGTGCGTCTTCGTTTTTCACTTTTATTTTCCTTTTTTATGATATGCGCACGTCAATCGATCATGTGGCTCGGGCGTTCGTGTGACTGCCGCGTGTGAATGCCGCGTGCCGCAAGGCGCTGCCGAGGCTGAGCCTCGGCAGCGCCTTGCGGAGCGCGCGGCGAGCCCCCGTGCCCGCCGGGGCAGGGTGCGCAAGGGAGAGCTGGGGTGCCCAGAGAGGCCATCCCGTCCCCGCGGCGCGCACCCAGAGATCCAGCGCTCTGAGAAGATCAATCAGGAGGAAAAGAAACACACAGACATGATGAATCCTCGATTCCCAAGAAAATATGGGAAACTATGGGAAGTGGGGGGGAAGACAAAAACCTAGAACATATAGGAAAATATGGGGCATCTTTTTATTTGTGTGTATTTATTTGTGTGTCCTGGGGCCCCTTCAATCAAGGTGGAGTTTCTGCGCCGTTTTCAGCTTCTCGAGGCGTTCGCAGGGCTCTGGGGCCGTCAACAAGCGACCCGGGATGAAAAACCGGTACTGGGGCATGGGTCGCGGTCGGGGCCTCCTGTGTCTTCGTATTGAAGATATCAGGACGTCGGATTCCTGGGAAGGTGCGGAGATATCGGGCGCGCGATGTGCATGCGACGCGCAGCGCCTTGCGGCGTGCAGCGAGGTGGCCCAGTGCCTTCCAATGCAGGGTGTGCAAGGGCGCAGGGGTGTGCGCAGGGTAGGTGGGCTCGGCCGCGCCGCTGTCGGCCGCGTTCGGTCGGCCTTGGTGCGGTCGGCTGCCGTGCCGTTGCCCCGTCTCTGGGGCCCTCTGGGTCGCCTGTGCCTGGTCGGGCGGCCTCTGTTTTGCTGTTCGTTCGGTGGGGTTTTCGATCGAGCCGTCGCCGTGGGCGGCTTCGACGCGGGGGCGCAGCCAGGACTGGGCCCTCCTCTTCGGGGCCGGCGGGCCCGAGTTTCCAGATCGGGCGCGTCGCGCGCCCCGCCCGTTGCTCGGTTCAGATCTCGGCTTTCTCATCAACTAAAAGTAGGACGCGGCATTTCCGAGAGGACCCTCTTACAAGTATAATTTGCCAAATTATAGATAATTCGCGGCAGTGACGGCCCATCTCCGCCTGGCACAGAGATACGTGAAGATAGTTCGTCCGTGCGTAATGTGTCAGTCGTTCTGGCGTAGTTGCCTGCCGACTCCCTGGTTCGTGTTTGGCAGCCTTCAGTCATTTGCCATGTCACCCTCTCGCCTGTTCATCCACCTCCCCCATAATAGCGACACAATGAAAGTGCGGCCTTCATGCAAACACGGACTAAACTGGCCCGCGAAACCAAGTGGTTGAAGCACCCCATGAAATCCCAAGCGTGCTGGCGCCCCAGACGACAAGTGCCCAGCGGCCGCGCGGATGTATTCAGCCCGACGCACACGCGACTGGTCGCAGCGCCACCGCGACTTCCGCCACGCCGATCGCGCTGACCCCGCGCAGCCGCTGCCAGCACGCCGCAGCGGCCAGACCACTGTTTTCACGCGGGCCCTCAGCCCAGCAAGTTGCTCCATGTTTGTGCGCAGCCAGCCACTCAACATCCTCTCGTCCTCCTCCCTGGTCTTCGTCGTCCCCTCGCTGCGCCACCTCGTCCTCCTCCTCCTCCCTCCTCCTCCTCGTCCATACCTGCCTCCCCTCGTCCTCCTCCTCCTCCTCCTCCTCCTCCTCCTCCTCCTCCTCCTCCTCCTCCTCCTCCTCCTCCTCCCGTTCATCGTCGTGCTCCCGCGCGGGGGGGGGGGGGGGGGGAAGAAGGGCATGATGGTCCGAAAAAAAACACTCCCGGCCTCTCCTCGTCATCCTCTCACTCCTCGTCGTCGTCTGCTCCCTCTTCCCGCTCGTTCCCTCCCCGTTCCTGCCAGGACGCTGACGGCGCTCGGGCCTCACGCCGCCCATCGAGGCCGCACCCCTCCTGGATGAAGAGGAGGATGGGGAGGGGAGGGAGAGGGAGTGAGAGGGGGGGTTGGAGGGAGGGAGGCAGGGAGAGGGGGGGGGGGGGGGGGGGGTGGGGGGCAAGAGGAGAGGGAGGGTGGTGGGGTTGGGAGGGAGGAGGGAGGGGTGAGGCAAGAAGGGGTGGAGGGATGGAGAGAGGGGGGAGGCAAGAGGGGGTGGGGGGAGGGAGGATGAAGAGGAGAAGAAGGAGGAGGAGGAGGAGGAAGAGGAGGAGGATGGGCTCCTTACAGTTGTTGTTCAGAGGTTTCCGAGAGGCTTCGGAAAGGTTCCCGAGAGGTTTCCGAGAGACAACCGCAGGATGATTCCGTGCACGCCTTGGCACCTCAGTGGAGAATTGTTTTGCCTTTAGTTGGGCCTAGCTTGGGTATGAACTTGCGCAACTTCTCCGTGCATCGCCCGCACGCACCTCACGCACGACACGATCCGAAGCCTAAACCAAAATCCCGGTTGAGGGACTCCGCTTCATTCGTTCTCACCGATCCTCACCATCACGATCGTCATCATCACCACCACAGCCATCTTCCTCCTCCTCCTCCTCCTCCTCTTCCTCTTTGTCGTCGTCATTGCCATCATTATCGTCGCCATCACCATTTTCTCCATGGTCACTGCACCAGTTAATCAAAGCTGGGGAGTTCCAAGGAAGGGTCAGGTTTCAAGCGTTTACTCTTACATGCGCGCATGCATTCTTCGCTTCAACTCAGCCAGCACCTCTTTCGTTCCTTCCAGATGCCTGGCCTGTGAAAGCATCACTCGGCTGCCAGCGGCGGCGACGGGCCAGGTTCTGCCCTGGGCGTGGCCCGGTCGCTTGGCAATATCGTTGCGGACAGGAGTTCCCGTGCCGTTGACCGTTCTGCCGTACGGAGGTGCAGGAGGGTGAGGAGGAGCAGCAGTAGCATGAGGAGGGAGATTGAAGAGGAGGTGGAGGAGGAAGATGAAAGGGAGAAGTAGGAAGTAGCAGGATGAAGAGCAGGGAGGAGCATGAGCTGGAATAGAATAGTCCTGCACGACGCGGAGGAGGAGGAGGGGGGCGGAGGAGGAGGAGGATAGAGGCGCTGGATGAGGAGCATCAGGGGGAGCAGG